ACACACACACACACCACACAGCACACACACACACACACCACATGGCATACACACACACACCACATGGCATACACACACACACACACCACACACGGCATACACACACACGGCATACACATACACACACACACCACACGGCATACACACACACAGCACACACACACGGCATACACATACACACACACACCACATGGCATACACACACACAGCACACACACACGGCATACACATACACCACACACGGCATACACACACACCACATGGCATACACACACACACGACATACACACACACACCACACACGGCATACACACACACACCACACACGGCATACATACACACGGCATACACACACAGCATACACACACCACACACGGCATACACACACCACACACAGCATACACACACACACCACACGGCGCACACACACACATACCACACACGGCATACACATACACACATGGCATACACACACACACACACACACACACACACGGCAGATGTCTGGCGAAGGTCGTCTACAAATCAAGGGACCCAGTGAACCTCGGGGCCACCGCTGAGTGTGGAACCCACCAGGAAGAGGTCAGAAGCACCAGGGAAACAAAAATCCCCGTCTGTAAAGCTGTCACCGTGGAATCTGGGGACAGCAGCACTAGGAAACCCAGACAGTCCCCGCTCAGGGCTGGGGCGTCCCATGGAAAGCACCCTGCCGGTGCCTGAGTGGCCGGAGGCCCTGACAGGCCTGAGACGGCTGCTTGGTGCTGCCGGCATCCTAAGAAACAAGAACGACCGAGGAACGCCTCACAGCCTTTCCTACTTGCTTCCTTCTCTGTCCGAGGAGACTTCCAGAAGTTGGTGGGAAATTCCAAGATCTCTTCTACTTTCCCAGGAACCACTAGAAGCCCCCTCATAATAGACAGTCATCACACAGCAAATGGTGACACGGAGGGCAGAGAAGGCACGGCCAGCCCACGGTTCCTTTTTCTGTCCATCCTTCCTTCCTTAAGAGCAAGCAAAAGGCACAGGTTGCTGGGAGGGCGCGCACGGCCCCCAGAAGTGAAATGAAAGCATTTCCACCGTTCTGGTAAGAGCGACCCTCTTCTCTGGGTGCAGACAAGGTCTGAGATAGACATCAGTGATCTCAGCAGTTTCCCTCCAGTTAAATGATCTCACGTTTGTAGGGAAAACCAGCACTGCCCGAGGTAAAGGTGAAGGGTAAAATTCGTGCTGGTGATTTACAGCTGGAACTTGTCTGTACTTGGAACATTATCTAACACACCGGGAAGAAATGGAGGGGAGGGAGGAGGAGGACTGCCATGGGGCCTGGGGGAGGAGGGCAGGGGGAAGGACGGGAGAGGGAGAGAAAAGGAAGCACACCGTTTTCTACTTTATACCTTTCCAGGCACATTTTCCCTGTTCGTGAACAGAAGCCTGGGCATTCATTTTGCCCCCTCTCTCACTGCCAGGGAGCCAATGCCCACTCACAGTGACCCTACAGGACAGGGTAGAACTGCCCCTCTGAGTTTCCGAGACTGTAATGGGTTTGCGGAGTAGAAAGGCCTGTCTTTCTCCCTCAGAATAGCTGGTGATTTCGAACCACTGACCTTTTGGATCCAGCACACATGCCACCAGGGCTCCTCATTTTGCCCTAGGCTCTGCATATCCACTCCCATCCGGCCCTCCAGACTCACCTCCCCCCAGGCTGCCGCCGGGGGCTCCACGGGTGGGTAGAACTTGGGCAGGTCCCAGGCGATCTTGGTCATAAACCACTTGAAGCTCTTGCAGTTGAGGGAGCTGCGGAGCTTCTTCTGGGCAGCGACATCCCCGGCGGAGAGGTGGCGGTACTCCGGCCGGCGCTGGTAAATATACTCGGCGTACTCATCCATCCACACCTCCGCTACTCGCTTCAGGTTCTGGAAGGCGACAGGTAGATGGAAGGTCAGGCCCTCTGAGGAACCGGTGGCAAGGGTGGGGGCAGGGGTGGGCACAGAGGCCTGCCTTTTGTATTCTATGTTGCACCTGGGCCGGAGCCCCACTACAATAGGAATGACAGGCTCACTGTTTCAAAGGCCAGCTGAATGGCTCTAGGTGGCCCGGGTGACATAGTGGTTAAGGAACAAGACTGTTAGCCGGCAGGCCAACAGTTTGAAAGCCTCAGCTGCTCTGCTTCCATGAAGATGTACTGTCTCAGAACCTTCTTGGCAGTTCTCGGCCCTAGAAGGTGGCTGGGCCAGAGCCCACTGGAGAGCAGCGAGCTTGTTTTGGGGTGGGACAACGGAAACTGTCCTGCAAACGAAAATGCTGGTGGTTTGAACCTACCTGGCTGCTCTGTGGGAGAAAAGACCTTCTCTTTCGAAAAAGATACAGCCCTACGGGGACGTCCTCTCCACCACAGGAGGCACAAGTACACTGGGTGGTACCCAATCAAAACATATGTCCATCTGAGTTTGTGTGTTTTAAAGATGCTACCATGGACAACTGCTTTTATCTTTCCTTCTTCCATTTCCTCTTCTTCCATCCTGGTGATGGCTCCTCCTCTGCCTGAATTTCCTTTTCGGAGGCTCGCCTGCCCCACTCTCAGTCACTATGGTCGGAGGATGACCCGTGGGACTACAGAAACCCTTGGCTGCAGGGGGCGGTCAGCAGTAAGCGTGGGGCCCAAGCCAAGCTAGTCAGAACCAAGGGGAAATGGCTTTTTGTGCTGTAACTATTGATGAGGGTGGCTCTACTTCTGCTGGGATTGCTGGCTATGCGGCCAGCCGAGTGTTGGGCCTTTGGCCATCATGTGAACAAAGCAGAGCCTAGGGCTAAGGCAAGAAGCACATGCCGACATTGAGTCCCTGGATCCACCTGTGCCTGAAGCCAGCTTATCTCAGGACTTTCCACGTATGTGAACCAATACATTCTCTTTCTGCATAAGCCAAGCTGAGTGTCTGTCATTAGCAACTAGAGAAATTCTATTCATGTCATAGGGTGAAAACAAAATGTAATTTGAAATCAAAAGGTCTAATTCCCCCAGCAGTTGGGATTTGA